GCATAATAAAACGTAAGAAACTTTTATAAGTTCTGGAAAAATAAGTTAAATGAAGTCTATATTCAAACATTACTTATGTAATGTTTACTTATGTAATTACTTATGTAATGTTTATGCCTAGACTCCATGTAAGGTATGATCCCTTCCGATGCACATGGTTGCGGATTTGATTACAATAGACGGTCAGGTTTTGTCTTAGTTGTGCATTGAGACAATTGCGGGTAATAACATTTTTACAATATAAAAACGATCTACGATTACAAACTACAGTGATCACATTGTAGCTCTTTGAAACAACCACAGTTGTTGGGAAACAAGTCGGTACACAAATTTAAATTAAAAGTAAAATCTTTTCTGCTGCGTAACTGTTTCTATACAATTAGAGACTATACTATTCATCAAAAAGAAAAATAATGTTTATTTTAACAAAACAGTGATATATAATGAATTAGTTTACATTGGTATTTATATTTTGTTTAAAAAAGCAATGTTTGTAACAAGTAATGAACTTCAGATTCCGGGTCAATGACCTCCATCTCGATCAGATTTTTGTCCAGTTTCCCTGATACATTGGGCAAATACTGAGATGGCCCCTTGTCTTGTTTCTAGACGTAAATGCAGCTTCACTATGCGCACGGTCTGTTGAACTCTTCTTTTGCTTGAAGTTTAGGAGTAGAGGTAAGGGCGACTTTATATTATTTTGTTAGCAATGCAGAAAAATAAAATCTGCAGTTTGTTTACCGCTGCAAATACGATTTGTATAATTCGGGAACGAAAATATCTAGTTTTTCAAATGTTGCTAATCTCCGTTTTTTTAAATTTCTGTTTTATTTATTTATCTTTAACTTTTACTCATCTTTCAACTATTTATAGTTAAAATGATGAGAAGGGATTCTGGAACTCAAGGAAATGGTCGCTGATGATTTTCTCCCCCATACGTCACATACAGTTTTTGCTGTTTTTTTGACTAAATAAATATATCTAATATATCTAAATTAATAAAAAATGACGTAACTTGTAATTTGCAGCGTATAGGTCAATTGAATCTGAAATAAACTCAATTACGTAGATAGTAACATTAAAATGTCTCGTTCAATGTTTCAGATTTAATTGTATTTGTAGAAGAATCGTAAGGAAATGACAATGTAAGAATATAAATATAAATAACATTTTATGTTCCACTCATCGAATAAAATTTATCTCTAGTCACATATATTATTTTTTCCTTACCAATACCTCAAAGAAAGATTTTCATTGAAATTTCTTTTCTTTGTGTTGGTTCAAATGCGAGGCATCCTTTCCTTCCCTAATTTAAAACGAGTGACAATGAGACGAGTGACACGTTTTGGAAAACATAAATTATATGAACAACAAAACAATTTTTATTTCACTCGATAATGAAAACATTGTTTTTGACCAGAAAGACAATGAAATGGATTATTTTTTAATGGATTGGTGAATGAACATAATATAAAATGCGTTATAATATTTAAGTAAATTTGATTTACACACGAAGCACTATTCCAGGAAGCAAATCTGAAGGGGAATATGGGGTTGCAAAAAAATACCACAACAGCCATTTATTTCTACGTAAATTTTCCATAATGCAAATAATAAAATATCTGTATGGATATTTTTGTGTGAGTTACGTACGGGTGTTCTTATATAATTTATCAATCACCAATTGCAGTCGAAGTATCAAAAAAGCCGCAGTCTAACAAGAAAAAAATCATTACAATAATTAATAATATTTTAGATGTGCGAAAGAACTACTTTTTATATTCTTGTCAGTTAAAATACTATTTTAAAATCGAAGAATACTTGCAAGAATGGCCTTGCAGATTTCAAACTTCGATTACGCAGAACTCAACATTATGAAAATGTTGCTAACGCGTATCAATGAATATTAACTGATTTAACCGCTTGCATTCATTATTGGGGGAGAGAATTTTAGCTCGTCCACCATGGCCACTCTCTTACGGCTCGCCCTTTTTCCTGGATATAAAAGATCACGATGACTATAATAGAACTTGAAAAGCACGTGCAATTCCAAAATAGTCTTCCCTACCTCATTCTGACATATCTTTGACACATTTTTTTATTGAAATAAGTAATTGAGTAATTGGGGATAATATAAATTAGATATTTAGAAAATTGTAGATTTCAGAAAATAGGTATTTTAATGAAATGCGATTCCAAACAATCGTAAATTCCACTTAATGTGGCGGTTTTCGCTAACAATTATGATTTTTGATAAAAAATTATTGGAAAAATATTTTTCACCAATCTGTACATAATGCACCCACGAATGCAGGTAAAGAAACAAATGCTAAAATAATACGTAGTTTGCGAAATTCATGCGATGATTTAAAATTATTTGTTTTGTACTACATCCCGTTGTATTATGTTTGAAATTCTAAATGACCAAGCGGAAAGAGACACACTGACACAGTAACCGACATTTATGCCACGGTAATAATTCCAGAGTGATCATTTTTTACGTGCGCTCAAATTGATTACAACTGGTACGTAACGATGTTAACTACGCTACTGCAAATTACATTTCATCGCAAAATAATACATTAGTGAATGCAATAAAAGAATAAATCTCGCCCACTGACATTACTAATAATTATAACGATTATCTACAACAAAACAGTGCATTGAAATATCAATAACATTTGCTGATTCTGCCGTTCAGATTCATCGTCATCCGTTCTATACAAATTTTCAATGATCTTTAATACATACCGCAGCAAATAATTTCCCAGAACGTTCAGTGCATGGTGAATTTTCCTTTTGTTCTTTATAATCAATCCCTTTTTATCTCCGCCCTCACAAAAATTTACCCAATATTTTACGCTCCTAAACCGATTAACATAATAACCTACTAACCGCCTCCTTTGTTGAGTATTCAAGGTTCTTTAACAGTGCAATTCATATCATTTTATTGCTATTCGTATCCGAAAATTCAATTGAGAAATACGCAAACAGGGAAAGTGGATGTGATAGAGAAATTGCTTGCCGTTTGCAATAAATAGATAACAACATACTCTTAGGGTGACAGTGCTTTACTGTGGGAACCCAATTGATTACTAACTTGCCAAAGAGGTTTCGATAGACGTCCTTGAAAAGCGAGGGAAATGAAGCTCCTTCGGTACTCGCTTTGAAAGCTAATGTAATGAAGTGAAAACAATTATTTTTATTTCCTTTCTCATAATTTACATTTACTCTCTGCTTTAATATATTTTATTAATACATTCACTCTTTGCAATCATTTTCATTTCGGTAAACACTTCACAAATTAGGACATGTACCTCATAATGTGATAAATCGAATTCGCCAAACTATTTTTTTAAACATAATTACAGAGCAGAAACAACTCATTGATTAATTCATTGTGTAGTCGCAATGAATTAATTCTCCTATTCCGATCTCAAATACGTCCCGAAAATTTCCGCTAATAGTTCAATGAATTACGAGCTCCCTCCTACGATGGTAAACAAAAAACGAATGAAGAAGATAACACACTTTTCAACGTGAATTCCTCGGCAATTCAGTTTATATACAAGTGGAAATTAATAGGAATAGGGATCTTAAAATAGGAACAAACATAAGGAGATGAGAAGTTGTCCAATCTTACTAAGAAATTTATCTAGGAAACTACAATTACTCATTTTATTATGAGGATTACAATTGCTCATTTTATAGGCATCAATATCGATATTAATTTCCATAGGCAGCAAGGATTTAATTAATTTAATTAAAACATTCATCGATATGAATAAACTTCGTATAAAGGGTCATAACAAATGCAGCGCATTAAGAAATCGGCACATAATACTGTGTGATGTAGCTATGCGATCGTTTACAGATGATTTTTTGTGTACAATATGAATACTAAAGCACTGAAAACAGTTTTGTGTACACCACCTGAATGAATTCTTAACAATTAAATAGTCAATGAACTAATTAACTATGTACATATTACCAATTTAATTCAGCTCTCTTTGTTAATTGCAAATTAACATGATATTTTAATGATTTTACAAGTCATACATTTCAAAGGATGAAAGAAGGATTTAAAAAATATGATACTTTAACAAAGTAATCTAATTAAATCATTACTAATTACATTGTAAGAAAAAAAATTGATTCCAAAAAACAATCTACAAAAAATATACTCAGAATAATTAGATCTTTGGTCAAAACACGCATGTTTGTGGACTTGTGTACCACGTTGGACGTACTACGTAATATTAAAGTGATTTATACTTTACGTCCAACAATGTAAACACAAAAAGTCCGTCTTTCAAAACATTAGTTTATTTTCATGTCAGTCTGTCACTTCATTATCCGTTCATCCTCCGGAAACTTCACCAATGAGGCATGTAAATTTATGAATGAAAACTAGTAAGTTCAAAATTGATCTTATACAAGTAAACAAATGTTCCACGGTGTTTAAAATTTCTTAACGTAGATATTTTGAATATTGATTTGTTTCCATGACAGGCACTTTATAACATATACCTAATTTACTAATTTATAGTCTTAGTCACGGTGTTATACAACGAAGTCGGAAATTGCATCACTGACAGCTGTCACTTTGTCTCATGATGAATACACAATGTCCGAGAACAGTCCGAAGAAGCACGTGCTTGGATACTGTTGACATTTAAACGACAAAAACTAATGGTATACAAATTTAACAAGTAGTAGCACTGTCAGGTCACTCACCTCTGGTGATTTATAAGTTGTCTTGTTAGTCAATTGCGGAAAATCATTGGAAACCACATGGTTCACAATCACATCACTAGCATCTCACTGAAGGTACTACTACTGTTACTACAATCCTATTATATTAATCAGTTCTACTACAATGAATAAATGCCGGGCTATTCAAATGACCGGCTGTCTGTTCGAGGAAATTCACAAACATCTGTGAATACAAACACGCACGGCACATTTACATGTTAGAAAACACGGCAATTCTTGCACTGTCAGATGGGAAGATGAACAAGATGCACAGCTTCGGCTGGCAAGATGGCTGGTCCGAGCTGTAGTGGTGCGGCGGCGACAAACAAACGAAACTCTCGTTGCGTGAGCGGCGCTGCACACAGGCGACCGGCAGAGGAGCGAGCGGTGGTGCACCGAGCGAGCGAAACGGCGGACGGATTACGGGGAGCGCGCGAGGCAGCCCTGGCGAGTGGGCCAGAGGCAGTCAATAATGACTGCCCGTCCCCCGCCCCCTTCCACTGCGCGTCCTCCTTGTCGTTCTCGTCCCCTCGTCCTTCCCATCCTCCTCCTCCTCCTCCTTCTCCTCCTCGTCCGCCCATCCTCCTCTTCCTTCTCCTCCTGCGGCTCGGCGTCCCGTGCGCCCCTCCACGCGGGGTCCGGCGGTGCGTCAGGCCTCCCCACCCCGAGCGCGCCGGCAGCCCGGCAGCCATCTTTGCCTACGTCATCCAGGATACGTGTGTATTTATACTACGACTCGCGCGGCGGTGAAGATTCACAAGACGACTGTTGGAGTACTTACCGACTTTCTATTCGACAGTGAGGAATATGTGTGTTTTAAAACTACAAAATCATGGTAATACATCGTAACGTGGATCAAAATACACTCAATCATTTCCTTGTTTGAAAGTTACGCATTAAAATGAAAGAATCTATGAATGCTCATACATAATATCGTTAATGTATTTTCTCATCAAACTTTGTAACTATTCTTTCTGGCTACCAGTTTCCCTCGCATGCGCTCGTAAAAAGCATAACAGTATCATTGATAAGTATGTCACACGCCGTGAACTTTTGTACTTTATCACAAATCAAAATGAAGTCCGATTTTGTTTGGTTACGTCATTAGTTGTTCTGTTCGCGCTGGAATGTTTGTAGTATTTTACAAAGCGGAAGAGGAGTATTGTGGAACGAATTAATGAATTGAAAATAGATGGTTGTTTAGAATTGTGAATGGCGGCGGTGTATGAATGAGAGGGACAAAGGATTGTACAAAGAAATGAACGAATCTCAGGAACGGCATCAATGGATGAATTAATGAAGTAATGATTTAATACATGAACGATCGATTAGTAGGTTAAAATTTATATAACAATCACGACAGAGTAAAGTAGGTTATGAGGTAATAAATGAAGAATAAAAATAACAATGAGCGAGAATGTCAATTAGAAGAATGAAATTAAAATAGAGGTGCAACGTTGATTAAAATATGTGTTGAGTAGGATTTTAAGGGCATGATTGGATTTTGATGTCAAAGCGAAGAGAATAAATATGGGAGGGAACCATCGATATCATATTGGGAACACGCACCCCGAAGACAGACTGTCCGAGTTTTCCCTAAAATCAACAATTTTGCGTGACTTGAAACGTCGGGTGAAGAATACTTTTTTACCTTTAATCCTTTATCTGATCGTAAGATTGATGAGCAACCTGTCTGAAGTTTATAATGCTCTCTCGTTATGGTAAAGGTGAATGCATGCCATTACGAGTAATATGATTTCGCTGCACTACACGTCTGTTAGTTCATGTTCGCAGCATTTACTTCGAGGCGTGATATTTCTTTCCGGATAATACGCTAAAAAAGTAACAAATTCGAGACATCATTATCTGACAGACGCTAATGTGCCAATAATAGAGTAATTTCACTAGTTGTTGGCTAAAGAGATATTGTCTAAAATTCTATCATAACTCAAGAAATAAAGAGGAATTCAAAGCACAAACTCGCATCCCGTAAAGTATGTCGGTCGAATATTAAAAACCCTACAGTCTCTTGAAAAACGAAGTATTTTACAGAATGATTGCATTATTTTGAAGAACATTAAAGAGTCTATTGTTAAATCCAGTAAACTTATAACATTGTCGATAAATGATTAACTCGCCACACATCCAATAATTAATTTAAGCAAATTAATTTTAAATATGGCGTAACAGCCCTGAGGAAGACCACGAGAAGATGGTCGAAATGTCGGCAACACAGCATTCGATGTGGCGTCACCCGGACAGCCAAGATCACGCAAGTGGGATGGTTTATTTTGACGACGGAACTATTATTTCAAATTTCGTGCTCGTTTTTTTTTCAAAATAGTTTTTATGACACGAGAGCAAACATTTCTGGTTTTCAGACTATTTCAACAACGCTTGGTTTTGTCAATTATGCATAAATCAAATAATGATAGTAAAGAGGGGGGTATGTTTTAACAGAGTTCAAGAAACATGCAAAAATAATACCTGCCGAACATCTGTGCGTAGGAGTTTTATAATTGTAAGGATGAATGTCACAATGTCATATACCTACGTTATGTGTAGGGGCGGATGTTGATTACCTAAAACTAACAAAAATGATCAATAAAATGTTCTTAAAATGTTTTTACAATGCCTTAAAACCAAAATAACGTAAAAATTGATCAAAACCTGCTCAAATGAACAACGAAAGCTGTTGGGGATACATTACTAATGTAGTCGGGCCTTCTTCCTTTTGTTCAAGTGAAGTCAGCTTGCAAACGTTGATTTGGACTGGACCAGGGAATTCCTATCTTTAGTTATCATGAAATCCGCCGAACTGACATTGGCACTGATGGGCGTCACAGGAACCTTAGATTACTCAGAACGGTTGTCATTAGAAATTCTGAGCGAAGAAATCGAATGCGCTACTCAAGAACTCTGTGAAGAACATTTGTTGCATCTCGTAAATATTATTTGAAACTAATACCATTAAAAAGGTATTAAAATCGGCGAAATCCGTGAAAAATGCTTTAAAAATGACGAAAAAGGGAAAAGAATGATTTATCTGTCGAAATCAGACACCACTGCAAAAAAAAAAAAAAAAATTCTATAAAAATGGGTCGGTTCCTTTTTTTTCATAACATAAAATGTCTGTACCAAAAAGCCTTGTTCTAAAGTGAAAAGAAAAACTGTGATTTCATTAATATTCGCCTCTTAGTTATGTGCAATTTCCAACTATGTTCATTGGAAAATATTTTCGACTTTTATGTATGCTCTAGAAGGTTGTAATATTTATTCTGGGCTATCCTCCATTATTCATACATTCACAAATACAAGATACAAACACGCAAGCGCGCGCACCACCTGAAATTGTGGATTGTAAATTTCACGGCGGTTTATTGAAATTTTAAAAAAGAGGGTGGTGGCGCTATTCTGGCTTCAGTTTCGGATTCAGCGCGTCGACGTACATATACCAATATGTGTCAAGTATTTGGGTCTGGCAACTTTTATTGTGTGCCTGTGGAATTAGACTTTGCATTTTTGTGGCCTCGCACTTTTTGTGCTATTCTTTAGAGGCCTAAATTGGGCTCTAAAATATAAATAGATATACTTCCTTAAATAGAAAATATAAATTGATATGGAAATAATTTTAGTTTCTCCCTACGGAATAGAGAGGATGTTATGTAATACTGCGCGAAAAAAACGGCGAATATTGGGCAGAAAACTCTTTATTACAAGGCACTAGAAACAAAAAATTGATAAATCTAGCTGATAATTTTGAAAAAAATCTCTATCACGTGATGTATCCAGAATTCATGTTTTGTGGGTCGTTGATACTGAAGAATCGAATGACGGCAAAACGCCTGTCTGACCTTCGGTCTATCGTCCGTCTGTGAACAATGCTAACGGCAAAAGCGTTCAGCCGATTTTCTCCAAAATTGATATTCCTAAATCGATCTGGCTGATGTCACGTACCCTTGAATTTGAAACTGATAATTCAATTTTGAGGGGAACATGGAGACCCTGGAACATTTATTAAATGTTCAAAAAAGTAGCTCCCTTGTTTTTGATTAAATGTTGTTAGATGGCGTGAAAGGCGATTAAGATAATGGTGTCTTATGTTCGTTAAAAATCTGATTTTCCTAAAATTGCAGAAGTACAATTTTTTTTCGGAATCTTCCTACAACTAAAATATTAAATATAGAATTTTATCCTTAATGGAATCCGTTCATTAAAGCTTAAATAGTAGAGTTAAGAGTTAGAAATAAGATGTTGCACAATTTTTCGAAAATTTGTGTACTTTTCGTGTAATTTTGCGTGAAAATATGGGGAGAAAGTACGTGCTGTTTTGGCACCACTAGTTTCAGAATAAATTTTATTTTACCTTAAGCTTTTTTATTGGCACTTTTCTTGGCATTATTATTAAAGTCTGTGGTCGCCAAATTTATGAAGTCTTCGAGCAAACGTACTGTTTTTAAATCTTACAGCGAGTTACCAAAGAAATTAGAAAAGAAATAGCTTTTAATTTTTAACATCCTGGAACTCAATTTCTCGGCTTTTATCTTTCACACAGATTTACAAGACACAAAGATATAAATTGGTAGAATGTTTGATCAAGATTTGGATGGAGGTTTGATGGAGGATTTGATGGAGAATAGAAAAAGAATTTTGTAAAACCTGTATTGTAATCGGGGAATATTCCTGGCCACGTCAATAACAGAACAGTCTCTTCTTCAGATGATACAATGAAGCAAAACATTAACAAATTGAAAAATAGCTTACAAAGAAACAAACGAATTAGCACATTTAGCTTCTCATTCAGAATTTAGGCGCAATAAATATATTTCATGAATAATTGCCAAGATATTAAACAAGAAATGTTGAACGTAAAATTATGTAAAAGCAGTAAAATAGACTTTCGCTTACAAATCCGATGACATATTTCACATTTTTATGTAAAATAGAGGAAGTCAGACATTTTGACGATAATACATGTTTTGGGAATCCCGGATTGCGGAAAGGTTTTATCAAAAACTCCGTCCGTCCGTCCGTTCTCCTCTCCGTCCTCTCCATCCGTCCTCCTATCTGTCCGTCCCTCTCTCTGTCCTTCCGTCAATTCGTGAGTCAGCCCGTCCGTCATACCGTCCGTAAGTCCGTCCATCAGCCTGTCCGTCTGTTCATCAATCAGTCCGTCCTTCCGTCAGTCCGCACAGGCAAAGTTGGCTCAGGGCATCAAAGGTGTCACTGCAGTACCGTTGATCAGGAGGTATTAGGGTTCGAGTCTCGACGACGGCAGGATTTTCGACACTAGCTTTGGCCGATTTCAGCCGCTGAGCCATCTGCGATTCGAAAATTAATAAAATATTGTAATCGTGCGCAGGAAAACGGCAAATTTTGCTTGCGCGACAGAAAACTTATTGCTGAGCTCTGCTAACGAAAAAGTGGATATAGTATCTTGTGTTGATGTATATGCTGTGGAGTAAGAATCCACGTTTTGTAGCTCATAGATACCGAAAAAGCGATTGACAGCAAAACATCTCTCTATCTGCATGATGGAAACGCTAGCACTAAAACGTTCAGTCGCTTTTTGCCTGATATT